CAAGGGCTGTCATAAAGATGGTTTGGATGCATACGTGCTGCCCCAAGAGTTGTGAACTGGGAAGTTATGAGGAACGACAGGAGACACATCAATTTCATATGAAAAAGAGCTCCCCACAACCTTCTGCTTACCTTTGTTTCTCCTTCAGTGACCTGTGTGCATACTGACCTACACCATTGGTTAGATACAGTACAATTGAGGCGGTGCCCTCTAAAAATGTAACAGGTGCCTTTAAGGAGGTAGGGCACTCTCTTCTCTCTACTAATATTTGCAGTAAAGATTAAAAGTGCTTTGGTCAGCTGCTGGGGGCAGTGGAGCACACTAAATAATGTTTACAAGTCCCTTGTAGCCTGAGATTCAATGAAGTTCAATAATCGTATTTCAGTGAAACTTAGCCTGAATGTTCTTCCCAAAGTAATCGCTCTTTAATCTGTGTCATTCTAAATTCGAAGAAGAAATATTTCCCAGTTATTGACAAAGAGGAGCTCATTTCATTTTCTAGGTACGTCTCTGGCATTCATGGGGTTTATAGAAAGTTGTGTGAAATGGGATAATCACATAACACTCACTCTCTGGTGAAACCACTTAGAATCTAGTGGAATCATTGTTTTCTCAGGCCATGTTCTACTAATATAGCATGAAGTTTTAGTCCACCTGGATTTACTGTGAAAGAGAAATGTAAAAAAATAAAGGCCAAGGGTGGTGGATGGGGGAGCGCAAAAGACATTTCATCTGAAAGAAAAATAAGTTGCAAATAATAATCGTCAAAATAATGGTTCCATTTTATTTAACAAGATGACTCTGAATGTACACTTTTGGCTTATGAACACAGTGTAAAGTATCTCCATCTTCCTTTCAGTCTAGCAATTACTACATACATTTGGAAATAAATGAACACATTTTACACAAGAAAAGAAATGCGTGTGCTTCAGTTGGTTCCGTGTGACTGTGGCGTTAGCTGGTTTCCCGTATCTGTGGAAGTTCGTCGGGTGGGCACGATCACCCCCACTTCCCAAGTGCAATCAAGCCAGACACACACAAAACAAGCATTCATGTGCTAGAGAAGCGTGTTGATCACAGCAAACGGTCATTCCTAGATGAGGTTATTAACTTACGGGTACATTTCCACACCCAGAAACACTTTTTTCTGCTGCTGGTGTACAGTGTTATATACTTTCCTTCCACCTAATGTGTGAAGTCAAATGCGTTTGTCGGGAATGAGAAAATGCAGAGAAAATGCACAACAGCGTTCCTTTTTCACTGGAACTGCAAAGGGCCAAGTATGACCCATGGTGACTCTATGAAAAGATCTACAGTCCTTAGGAAGGCAATATCCATTATGCATTACAGACAAACTGTAAATGGTTTTGCCACAACACTTCTGGGCTTTATAGGCTGTTGATGGGTCCAGTAAGAAGTAATATGTAAAATTCCATTCTGTGAAAATCTGTTTTACTTGAAGAATATAGATTGCAAAGAATAGCAAAACATTTACTCACAGTGCTGGGAAAAGTATTTACCATGAATTCCTTGGGTCAAAAATTACACACAGGGAAAGAATGAAGCATTTCGAGGCTGATTCTTGGGGGAATCACTAACTTAACATTGTTTCTGCTTATAGAGTAATTGGACTAATTACAAATGGATTTGTCCCACTGGGTCTCTACATTTGTGGTCAGTGAAAGCAATGGATACGGTCAGGAGGAAGCACCTAGTTTGGGGAATGAAAAACCCCCATTAAACACTGCCTCCGCTCACTGGCAGGCAGTCACAGTCCCTCACAGCCTGACAATATTTGCCTGTTGTGGAAAAATGACAATGTCAGCTCAGGAAATGACATGACAATGTATTGGTTAAGTGTTTTCTGGAACACCTACACTATTCAGTTAGAACTGTACTATTTGCAAATGAGTAAATATGCCAAGGGGCTCACAGCATGCCTACCAGATGCAAATATACACAGTTATGGCAAGCTTATTGCAAGTCCTCTTAAAGTAACAGGAAATTTTGATGCAAAAAAGACAGATGAAAATACAGGCCATAAATTGTAAAGGAGCCATACTCTGAGGAAGGTATTATTTGAAAAGCACAGAAGACTATTTTATCCAAGAGGGAATCACAAACATTAAAAATAAAATATTTGGTATTCTACACTATATTACAAAAATAAATATATCCATCAATAAATAGTAAGAAGCCTAGAAACTTTTACAGGAATATTTTGGTTGTGGGCTGTCAAAATCCCTCTGCTACAATCCTCCTCAAGAATCATTTAGGTGTCAACCTCAGTGATGATAATTCTTCCATAATAGAGTAAAAAAGACTGGCGCAGGATGCAGCCAAGCTCTGTGACCAGCAAGGACGTTAGTGACCTCTACCTCCTGAGGATCTGACCATTTCACGGCTTCGTATTAGCGTAGGGATAGAGGAGAGGTGAGACACATTGCAAGAGGCCTGATGGGGGTCCCTGTTTAAGGTTTGTGCCTTTGCATTTCTTGATGAGAAAAAAAAAAATGCAACTAGCAACGTTTGAATAACCAACATATGACTTGCTCTACTCTTTTTCCATAGTGAAGAAGCAACATAGAAATGCATGATTATGTCTGGCCTGTAGTAAAAGGACAAACATCTGGGATACACAGCCTAATCACCGACAACCTAGACTTTCACATCTCTTTAACAGAAGAGTGTGCTTGCCACAAGATTGCCCCCCAAACCTGGCTGAGTCAGCAGAGGGCGTGAAGGAACCAGGCCCTGGCACATCTTAGTGTTCTACCATCAGCACTCTAATAGCAGCGGGGTGTAGGGCCTGTACACGTGGCTCCTGAGAGCAGCTTGCTGAGTTTTCAGGAATTTTGCAAGCCGTTTGACATCACACTGGTAGCTTGAAATAGGCTACAGCGATTCTGGTTCAGCTGAGATTTTGCGGTATGTCTATCATAGACAGTGTCCTTTAGAAAAGAGAAGCAGTACCGTAGAGTAAGTGAGGATACAGTGTGTACCGTGGATATAAAGGATGCACTATGTCCCTCTGAGGGCTCTAAGTGTCACTATCCAAAGCCAGTTACCCATGTGCGCGCGCGCACACGCACGCACGCACGCACACACGCACACCACTTTATATGGAAGCTCTTTCATAAACGAATGATCTGAGTTGCGTGGCCAACTCAAATTGTCAATCACCGTATACTCACTGAAGGTCAAAATTCCACTTTTCTGGGGCAGTGATTTCCCAGAATCTGCCCTCTGGACATCAGTGGACAATGGATATACAGAGCAGAGCCCCAAATCGGACAAAATGTCCTTCTAGCTTCCCTTACCTCTATTTTCTAGTGCAATTTGAGTTTATCACCCCAAGAGGTTTGTGAAAGGGAGGCTGCTGGTTTCCCATGGTAAAAAAAAAAAAATGCAAGACTTCTTAAGGAAGCATTCAATGGGGTGAGTGGGGGACAATGTACTGGAAACCACATTCCTAGAAGTGTGAACCTTCAGTGTCGGCTTCCTGGAGGAGTCAAAACAATTTGAGACCTATACTGCTCTCGTTCTTCCTGCACAAAGCCCATGATATCACATGGATGTTGGTGCTGGGGGGAGCTAAGATCAGAGCCTCAGTGTCCCTCCATGTAGCCAACTGCTGGCAAGCCCATTGGACCATCTGTATCAGGAACACTTCCCCATTACCTTAGTCCTGGCCAGTTCCAAACTGGGAGACTGCAGCATGGGAGAGTTGGGAAGCCTACCAGGGGGCAAACCTGATTTCAGAATTGAGGCTTAGCTCTTGAGTCATTAGCTTGTGTGTCTCTTTATGGATCCATTTATTTAGATGTATCTGTTTGGACCCTGGTTTTCTCTTTCTTATACTTAAGTATTCTCCATGAACAAAACCTTTCATAAAGAATACTTATTAGAATAAAGTCAAATTAAATCTTGGGAGGAAATCTAGAAATTAGAGCACTAACCCCACTCACCCTGACAGCAAATGCTTTCAGGTGTTCCCTCCCAACCCCACAGCAAGGGCAATAAAGGCCAATGAAGACAGGAGAAACAAGAATGACAGAAGGATATGAGACGCTGGGGCAAGAAAAGAAAGAAGGAAGGAGACGGGTGGAAAGAAGCAAAAGCAGGGGTGGAGAGGCAAGGGAGAAATAGTAAGAATTAAAGAAAAATATTGAGAAGAGTCCAACAAACAGATCCCTTCTGATTTTCCTCCTCTTGGTCTTGGGTAATTTTATTTTGTCCAAAAGATTTAAATCTCCAGTTAAAACTGCTTATAATTTTACAAACACATTCTAGGTTAGCATCTATATCCTTTTCTCTCTTCTCCTGCGAGCACCGTCCCACCTCCTCTACCCTCTGCAGCAGTAAAGGCCAACACACATGGCCTTGCTGTCCTGTTATCTCAGGAACATCCTGAAGTTCCTTCTGTTTGTTTTTTCTTTCTTTTTTTTTTTTTTTCTTGACCAGGCGCTGCCCTCTAGAGCGCAGTGGTGTTCCAGTGACTCATTCTTTGGTAATGTAGCTTAAGGCCACTGCCTCTTGAAGCCCTTTGATTTCTGTATCAGATAACCCCTCTCCTTAAACAGGCAGCACCCTTTACCTGGTCCTGTTGCCCTGAGCAATGGCACAAACTCAACTGATAAAAGCTAATCTACATTTCCGGGCGCCTGGGTGGTTCAGTCAGTTAAGCCTCCGACTCTTGGTTTCAGCTTAGGTCATAATCTCGCAGTTTTGTGAGTTCAAGCCCCACATCGGGCTGTGTGCTGATCATGCAGAGCCTACTTGGGATTCTCTCTCTCTCTCTCTCTCTCTCTCCCTCTATCTCTCTCTGCCCCTCCCTTACTCACACTGTCTCTCTCTCAAAATAAATAAATAAACTTTAAAAAAGTTAAAAAAAAAAGCTACACCTACATTTCCAATAGTATTTAGGAAATGTCATACTTCATAGGATGGTCAAATTCCTGGTGCAAATTATCTTGACATAAATCCTACTCAGAGAAGAGTTGACTGAGAATATACCATCAGTTTTTAATATATACACATTTGATTGAGTCATGCATATGAGGGAGTATAATCTACCTCTATAGAACCAGGAGAATTTTGTAAGTTTATCTCTGTACACATATACATACACAAGTATCTATCACTGACACTCTATTTCTGCTTAGGGCCTGTTGTTTTCAAATTGACATAGAGGACAATTAGTGTGGCTTGCCACTTGCTATTGGAAATGGCATTGACAAGAAATGGCAAGTCCAAAGAAAAACATATTGGAAGGGATGATATTGTATTAGCAAAACATGCATTTCCTACAACAAACTGACCTGCCCATTTCCCTAAGGCAGCAAGCCTCTATCATCTGTACACTCTTATTAAATAATCTCATTAAATAGGAACACAAAATATACACATTTACAGTTATTAAATTAGCACAGGACTCCTCTTCTATCTACAGCCACATTCAGAGACTGCCATGCCTTCATATTTGAACTTGTAAGTGACCACGCCTTTGTCTAAGTAGAGGATGGAGATGGGCTCTAGCTTGGTGGGCACACAGCAGGCTTTGGAAGCCTTTTGGGAATTCTTGAGGTGGACCAGGGCCTGGATAATCGCATGCTTTGTGGGTGTGAGATGCTCTGCAAGGGGGTAGTTGCAAACCCCACGGCATTCGTAGGCTTCATATCCAGGTGGGGCGATGATCCAAGAGTCCCAGCCAATCTCTTTGAAATCGATGTAGAGCGGGGTCCTCTTGCAGTAGTTTCCTTTAGCATTCCTTCTGATGCGGGCAGTGGAGTCATAGATGATGTTTGACCTCATTTGCAGCAAAGCTTCTTCTCCAGGTCCGCTGGAATAACTGTCCATGCCCAAGTTGTCAAACTCCAGAAGTTGCTCATGGGCAATCATTTCATTCAGTTCTTCTGTCCGCTCCTTCTCGCTGCTTTGGTCATCAGAAAACACGACAAGCAAAGGGACATGCTTATTCCTGGCACTGGTGTCTATTTCCAGTTGTCCCCTGCCAGCATCCTCAACTCCGTCGTGTCTACTCTCAATGTGGACCTCCAGCTGGTGGGTGGATGAACCTGACTTTTGCCAACGTCTAATGGCCTCAGTGACATCAAAAGTCTCCCACTCACTGTTGGTTCCATAGATCTCCCCTGACACCAAGACCAGCATGCTTCTTTCACCCTCACTGTCCCCTCTGCTCTCTAGTACCTCAAAAATGGTAATTTTTCGGTCTACTCCATCATAGATCATGCGATCTCTTTGCACCAGCGTGTACAACCTCAGTTCAGCCATGATAACCTCTTCATGGTGAGGAATGGACACATTGAAGAGGAGAGGGTATTTTCGGAGCCCATTAAAACTGGCTGGCTGGGAAAACAGATCTGAAAAAAAAAAGACAAAAATCAGAATTGCTGTATGTCACTGAGAAAAACAGATGCTTATTTATGTGATAAAAGGGCCTGTCTGCACGAGAAGCTTGACACTGAGAAATCAATGAGAGCAAACACAATGTTAACATTCTCTGACAGAAAACACTGAAAGGTCAGTGGTAGAATACTAAGCTGACTTTCGCGGCCAAGGCTAAGATGGAAAATGGCTGCCTGATGAAGGCTCTCCCGGCCTTGCTTGCGTAGCTTATCAGCCACAGAATGACAGAGCTGGGAGGAAGCCTGGAGACTGTGCAGGCAAGCCCCCAGTTATTCCAACCAGTGAGGAGCCGTCAAATGGGACATGCGGTGGTTGTTCTTTCTTGGAAGTTTTTCAGAGATGAGGACTTCATGGCTTTTCACATGTGCATTTGTAATGGGTGGAGATTGCCCACATGGTTGGCTGAACATTAAAAGACCTTCAGCTATATTGGGGGTTGGCAAACTATAGCCCATGGGCCATATTGGGCTCTACCTCTGGAAATAAAGCATCATGGGAACATAACCTGACCCATTTATTTCTGTGTGGTCAGTGGCTACTATTGTACTACAATGGCAGAATTGTGACAACAACATGGCCCCCCAAACCTAAAATATTTACTATCTATCTGGCCCTTTACAGAAATATTTTGTTGACTTCTGCTCTAGACGCCAAAATCTGACAAGGTAACCAGATAGCCAAATACCAAGGGGGTCACAGTGGATGAATTTTGGGTGTGTGGTTGTCAACAAGGAGGAATGGGAAGAAAGGAAACTTGGGATAGAAGTCTTCTATCCCAAGGGTAGTCTTCTACCCTTAGCAACCATCACGGAGTTTTGGTACATAAGAATCACTCGGAATGTTTATGAAACAAATTTTTAAAAGTCTCAGAAGCATGCCTCCAAATGTTAGCATGTTGACTTCCTATCTGAGAATTTTACGGGAGCCCAAAGCCTCTATACACTTGCCCCCAGGAAATACATGATTACAAAATGTCCCTGAAGGCATTTGTCAACCAGCAAAGGGTTCCATGAAACCAGGATACTAAGGACCCACCAATGGAGGGGTTCTCTATCACCTCTGGCACTTTTCCCAACTCTGTAACCAATTCCTGATTTTAGTGTGGTCCTTGTTCCAGACTGTACCCTTTAATATTCTTATTTCACTTTATAATATTTTTTTTTAGTACTTAATATCTCTTTTAGTTCTGTCCTAAGCAACAACATTCATGAAATGAGGGCATTGAGGTGATAGCCATGTGGACTTTTTTCTGATCCACGTTAATGAAAATATATAATAAGGTCTCATAATTTACAGCTTTCTCTGAGTACCACTAAAATCATCTCAAACACCAACAGTGGGAAATACTGGTCAAAGGAATGAATTTGAATTCTGTAACATGACTCTTAAAAGCAGCTATAACCAGGCCTTAACCTCCTGATCGACGTATGGCTGCCATTCATCCCCTACAGTACATGGAACATTGTAATTGGCCCACTGATATTTGTTGAAAGTTTAAATCATAAAAATTCCTATCGAAAGGAGACTGAGGGGTGCCTGGGTGGCTCAGTCAGTTAAACGCCCAACTCTTGATTTCAGCTCAGGTCATGATCTCACGGTTTGTGAGTTCAAGTCCCACATTGGGCTCTGCACTGACAGTGAGGATCCTGCTTGGCATTATCTCCCTCTCTCTCTGTTCCTCTCCTACTGTGCTTGCTCTCTCTCTCTCTCTCTTTCTCGCTTTCTCTCTCTCTCTCTCTCTCTCAAAATATATGAATAAATAAAAACTTAAAAAAAATAAAGTAGGCTGATATCTTCACCATTTGCCAAAACATTCCTTTGCCTTGTTGTGTATTGCACCTTTGGAGATGTTCCTCTGACTCTTGGAAAGTCCTCTCCCCTTTTGGGTGTGTGGCCCCTCCTCGTGGGGTTTTCCCCCTCTTCACATCCCTATCTAGAAGTTCACTCCCTTCTGGGTCCCTTGAATATTTACTCTCTGTCTCTCCTTTGAGCTTTGCCATTTATATCCTTCCATTTCAGGTTTCTTTTTATGAATGGGTCTTCCCAACTAGATCATGACCAAGCTGGCAGGTACTGTGCCTTAAACTCCTTCTGTGCCTCCATGCTACCATGATGCCTTAAACAGAGGCAACACTTTCAAAATATTGATTAGTTGATTGTGAACATCAGATCAAACTGATTTATGGGCATGGCATATGTTCTTAATACATCAAGTAACTTGGGAGTTGTCCCTTTTATAAGAATAGAGAGACTTGACTCTCCTTGGACAGGGAACATGAGAAGATCAAAAATAGGAAGGTAGACAGGTTGCTCCATCCATGACAAAAGTGCAGGATAAAAGCTTATGGTGGTGGGTGGAAGAAATTCCAAAGGAGCACAAGGAAACTTTGGGTGGTGATGAATATGTTCATGATCTTGATTGTGGTCATGGTTTCAGTGGATGTTTATATATGTCAAAACCTGTCAAATTATATACTTCAGATATGTGCAGTTTATTGTATATCTATTATACTTCAATAAAGCCATTAAAAAAATAAGTCCGCAGAGCATGTACAAATATACTAAGTAGTGGATGGAGGTGTTGCATTCTAGGCAAGGGAACTGACGTTAGTTGAGCATATTGTAAAGTGCCAGGTGTTTTGAAAGCATTGTTTTATTTAGTACTTACAATGACTCTTTATTGCTATTGTGCTCATTTTACACCAGAACAAATCAAGCCTCAGTGCAGAGGACTGACTTCCCCAAAACGATGAAGTGAGGTCAGCAGCGGTAGGAATTAAAGTCATGGCTTTTTTCTACCTTAGAGGTGCGCTTGTTTTCCCCTGATTAGTTAGATTTGGAGGAGGTTTTTTTTGTTTTGTTTTGTGGGGATGGAGGGGTTGGTCTTTGTCTCCTAGGCAGCTGCACTGTGCAGACCCAAAGAGGCAAAGGAGGGACAGTTAACAGCCACTAGGGCTAGCCCAGTGCACACTCCACCTGCAGCCTGGCAGAGGACGCCACAGCCGGGGCGTCCACGGAGAGATCCGCTCCGGCTTTCGCTGGTGTCCAGTGATCAGATGCTCTGTAAACTCCACTTCCTGACCTGCCTCCACTTCCTGACCTGCCTCACGCAAATCCTCCACGGAAGAAGCGAGAACTGAAGCACTCCTGTTTTCCCAGGGGATGTGAACACTTTCCCACCTGCACTCTCAGCCAGGCACCCAGGGCTCAGTGCTCGGAAACACTAGGAAGGTTTCCCATGGAAGGAAGCTATTTATTTTCAATCCAGACTCACCCCCAAAAGGAATCCGTAACTTCAGTTTGCCATTTCCATTATGTTACTAAATGTTACTAAGTAACATTTCCAATGTGTTACTAAATATCTGAAATTTGGGCAGTTACCTAAATTTTAAAGGCAAACGATATCTTTAGGACTGAGCAACACCCACTCCCCGTTTCCTCCAGTGCCTAGAATTTAAGGAATTCATTCGTAATATCTGACGTTTATTCAGCAATTCATAGTAAATGCAGTGCTTTCTCACTTAGAACCTCTTTGAAATAGCTCAATTATGTTACATAGGTATATTATCCCCAATTTACAGATGAGCAAATTGAGGCCCAGAGAAATTAAACTAATTGTCTCTAGCTACTAAGTCAACCGTGTCTCAAAATTCCAAATCCTAAGCTATTGCTTTGCTATTGCCTTTCTGCTTTTAAGAATGTCTGGTCAATATCAATCAAAACCCTCTTTTCTACCTGGTTAATGATTATGGTAAATATTAAAGAATTCATTTCTTTGGATCTACAGCTTTTACCATACATATGCCTACTAGTACCATATTAACTAAAAGATTAACTTGCTAGGTCATTAGATTTAGTCACTGAATAAAGCTGGGGGAGATACCATAGGTTTCCTACTGATATTTAAAATTTGCACATTACTATTCATAAAGACATTGCAATAAGCTGGATCATTAACTGGGTCATACATTATTCCTGGGCATTATAAACAGTGATTCAAGGATAAACATGTCACACAAACACACCAAAACTTTAGGAAGAACCTCGAAAACATACATTTTCAGCCTGTCTGAATATTTCTTCAATAAGGTCAGAAAATAGAAACTCATTCAAAGTTCGAAAGAAGCACAAATCACAACTTTTGGGTGTTGTCTGTTTTCATCATTTACATTCCAAGCAGAAGTTCATGCATTTTTGAGTCAATCAAAAGACAAACGGAAATTGAGACGTATCTGGAAAATGACACGCACAAGTATAGTGGTCGACCAACATAATTTTTTTATCACTTACTGTTCAAACTTAAAAAAATTTTAACAACCCAATCATGAAGTCAAAATGGCTTTGGATTAAAAGATATTCTTTAGTGTCTTTTAATAACATTTGGGAAATGACCATGAAAATGGTATAGACCCAAAATGTGAATTGTTTTTGAGTATCTATGTACATATACCCTTATACAGAGGCCTTCACCCTTATCTATATTATTCCCACGCATTGTAAATTTTCTTATCCGCCTCTTGAAAAAAAATCCAAGCAGAATCTATCAATAGTATGTAAACTTACCTTCATTTTTGAAGCTCCTAATGATGTTGGCAGATGGCATGGAGGTCCGATCTGTTGCAAATTTGTTGTAGAGCTCCAGCATGTACTCTGGTGGGTCAACCTTGGCTGAATCCTGCGAAGGGATGTCGGAGAGGTTCAGTGTCTTGAGGAATTCATTCTTCATGCTCTGCAGCAATGTGTTAAAGTCGACACCATCTTGCTCTGAGAAGACATCATCGAAGAGGGGCATATCTTCTTCCAGAGGTGACTGCTCCAGACTCATGATGGGGCTGCCAGAAACCGAGTGAACCACCAGGCAGACGAGAGCCCACAGTTGCAGGGCCAGAGAACCCATGACTCTGCTCAAGCCCCCAGGCCAAGCCGGGAAGGTTTAGCTCTCCTGGGCTCTAAGTGGCAGTTTTATCTTGTAGCGCGTTAATGCCTCGTGTCACTGGAGACAAGTTTGGAAACTCTTCCCCTCTCTCTCCCTCCCCCTACCACTCTTCCTCTCCCCTCAAAAGTCAGGTTGCAGTAATTGGATAACAAAATCCCCTATAGGGGCCTAGCCTTTCTTATCTCCCCAGTGTAAACTTGTGCACCAGATTTTGTTTCTATCTTGCGATCCTTTTTTCTTTTAATGAGCATTTTGTAAACATTTCCACATTCTGACACTGGCGAAGAGATAGGACAATTTTCTCTTCACAGAAGCTCTGCTTCTCTTCCTTTCAATCCACTTCCTTTTGGCAGGAATGTCTAAGTTCTGCTTTTATGCGGTTCACTTTCACACATGCCTAGAATAGATACTAAGAATCAACACAATACACATCAGTGGCAACACGTATTAATTCCAGTGATAGGGTTTCCGTCCTCACATCAACATTTCTGAAGTCAGATCAAATATCCAGCATCTCTAAGTTAAGCTAATAGATATAAATGAATTTATATAAATTTTTAGAAGCTTGCGTTTTTAGAAACAAGGAAGTATAAACTTTGTGGTCAAGGGCCTTTTCATACAGATTTAATCTGGTTAAATGGCTTTTGAAACATAGGGTGAGTGTTTCATTATAATAGCAACTAAAATTTCTTAGGTGCTTTCCTATAAACAGGCGTTGTGCTAGGTGCTTTGTGTATATCACCAAATGTGCTCCCTCTAATAACCCTATTACTATTCCCATCGCAGGTATGGGTCACTAAAATTCAGTAACTTGCTAGAGGTCACAGAGCTACAAGGTGATAGAGTCAGGATTTGAACCTAGGCCTTCCGACTCTTATACAAAGAAGAAAACAGACTTTTCAACCGGTGTTCCCTGAGGTTGGGGCAAGGGCTAAGTAAGCCCCAGCCGAGCCTTGCCTAGAGAGTCCACAGGAGGCAGGCAGGGATTTGCAGCTGGACATGAAGCCCGGGTCCTTCACCCTGGCAATGAAGTATCAGGATGGCCAAAAATCTCTGCCAAATCCATCTTTATGGCTAAACCAAACCGATCAGGTGGTTCCAAATAAAATTTTGGCAAACAGCATTATTAGGCAGATGAAAAATGCCAAATGCCTTTGTCTGAGAGACTGGTGAAACTGATTGTGTGCCTGGTTTAGGAAGGACAGATCAAGTTCATATCACTTTCCAGCCCTCGTTAGTGGCAGTATCGGTGTGGTGCGGTCAGGCTGGGTGGAAAACTCCAGGGAGTGCTCTCTCCCCTGAGGTGGTGGGACTGGTGTCTCCTGACTTGTTCAGTGCACTCCCTGTGCAATTACAGGCAGCTGGCGTTGTGTCCAGAAGACTGGTTCCAGGTATTTGATACACTGGAATACTCTCCTAGTTTCTGAGTTAAACTTTCCTATGTTTACCCCAATAGGTTGGCTACAATATCTCCACTATCCTTTTTCTTGTGAGCTCCCTGTGCAACCATCTTCTGATCCTTTCCTCCCCTCAAATGCAACTTTACAGCAGTTTTCTTGAACTACCATAGAAAGACTTGTATTTTGAGGGAAAGTCCCTCCTCAAAATTGTGCCTTTGTTGAGCAGTTGTTGATTTTGATTCAGTGTTCTATCTTGGTTGAGGCTCCGGCTCCCACATTAAAAAGACAATTGTAGAGTAGAAATAGATTATACCCTAATAGGTCCATAAGCAACAGAGTCCAACCCGCCCCGGGGATGGGCTTTAACATGAGGTTTCTGACAGCATACCAGCGGGGCCCTTGTATCATGTCCTGCATCAAAACAAGCACCCGTTTCTCTTCACACACACAGAGATGTCAACGCACACTCCAGAACTCTGAATGGCAGGCATGTGCGTGTAACTGCCTCAGGACAGCAGAGTAAGTGACAGTACTTACACCCCGGGCGCACTGGCTTCAAAGGTCAGGAGGAGGGACGGACATCCCACATCACAGAACTCCAGCGTTTTGCATTCTTAGGGGGAACACACGCAGCTGAGATTTCCATGAATCCTCCGTATTCGGTGTTGGAGTAACTGTTGGGGTTGAACATCTGGACCAGTTGCTGCATCAAGAATGTTTATATTTTCGGCTGACTTAAATATAAAATAACAAAATCTCTATAACCACATCTCAATGCCTATGACTTCTTGAAATGTAATGTCCCTAAGCCCCACATCTGCGCTGGGGGTGGACAAGGAAGGAGATTGGACTCCATGCATGGAGGAGAGAGGCAGAAGCCTCACCCTCTTCTAGGCCTGGGATACTTTGCATTTCAGCTGCAGAGTGTCTTTATCCACATGATTTTACCTAGAAGCTTCTCCTGATGGCTCTCACCTGACTTTAAAAGGTCCAAATATCTCCACATTCCTTCCCCTATCTTGATTTCCCGGACACAGTCTATTCTATTACTTTGCACTGTCTCATTATTTTGGATCCCTTTCATTTGGAACATGTTATAACCCGTTTAGAGTAGATGGAAGATGACTATTTTCTGAGTCAAAGATGAAAGGCATGTCTAGATGTTTTAAGAGAACCTCCAGGGGTGGGGAGCAAAATATTAACTAGCATCATGCTTATCAAACCCACTGTAAAATGCTCCCGAGTCTCCACTTTACAAAGTGTGGGCCAACTTTTAAGACTAGTTCTAGTTACTGTACATACTCGAAGGATCTGACTGAACTACACTGGAGTTTTCAAAGGGATCTGTGATCCAGGGAAGGTAAGATCCATTGGACAACACCCATGTGAATGCTGCTGTCCCCTGCTAGGACTGAACAGGTCCTGAATAAATGCGATCAACAAAATTGTCTTGACTGACAAATGGTCAGTGAAGTCAGGAGATCTTTGGACATGACTCCACCTTCCACCTTGGACCCTACTTCAGAAGCCTGACACTACTCTTGCTACTTAGGAATTTTCAGGACTTTGAGGTATACCTTCTCAAACCAAGTATGATAATAAAAACATTCAGCAAGCCATATAACGGGTCCAAGCCAATCAAAACAGATACAAGCCAGAGTGCCAGAGCAGGATTGCAGAGGCCTCAAGCTGCCCTTAACGAGCTCTAGATCTTGGGGCGTTTGGGGTGGGATACTGGGGGAGGGGCTTGGGCAACAGCTATTTACCAACCTGTATGGAAATATTTTGGTATTTTAGCACTACATATTACCGTTGTACTATGTATAACAGGTGCACGGTAAGTATTGCCTAAAACTAAGCCAGAGCTCTGCAAGCTACATGCCGTTAGAATTTGCTAACTCAACACGAGGATAGATAGCCTGCACTCATTATTCCCTTGCCTGCTACTAGAATCTGCTTTCTGGCTGCCGTCTCGCTCTCCAGTCCAGATCTTGCCCATAGTACCGAGACTTAGGAAACCATTTGGGCTGGGCTGCCTTTGTCCCTCATCTCCCCCCAAATCTCCTCTAGGATTGGAAGCTGCCTCGACGGTGGCATTTCTCATCAATTCATGTTTCAGAGTCCACATTTTCAGTCAAGGAAGTGTTTCCTTGCTTCTTCTGAGCCCTCAGCATTTAGGTTGCTACTTACCTGAGGCTTGTCTGTCTACCAAGTGGTTCTCACACAGCAACACACAGGAGCCATCTCCTCAACTCAGCTCCTCCAACGTCTGTGGTTTAAGTAGCCCCTTACCTCCTTCTTTCTAGAACCTTCCACATGAGCCCTTCATTCACCAATCAGGCTTCTCATGTGAATTTTCATCAATAATTAGGCTAGTAATAGGGGCGCCTGGGTGGCTCAGTCGGTTAAGCGTCTGACTTCAGCTCAGGTCATGATCTCACAGCTCCTGAGTTCTAGCCCCACGTCGGGCTCTGTGCTGACATCTCGGAGCCTGGAGCCTGCTTCGGATTCTGTGTGTCTCCCTCTCTTTCTGCCCCTCCCCGCCCCCACTCATGCTGTCTCTCCCTCAAAAACAAATAAGCATTTAAAAAAATTGTTTTAACTAGTAATTAGGCTAGTAATAAAAAAATTCAGTTCTTTGTCACAGTTTTCCCCTCAAGATTTCTTGTACATACCTACTATGTATGGATCAAAAACAAAACCTAAAGAAAACAGACCAAACCCCTGACCTTATGGAGTTTACTTTCGAGCTGGGAGAAGAGAAACAATAAACAAATATACAACTAAAATGAAGTGTCTGGTTGGTGGTGATAAATACAGTGGGGGGAAAAAAAGTAAGAGGACAAGGAATGCCAAGGGGAAGGGGTTGCTATTTAATTGTCAAGTCTAGGGAAGGCCTCCCAAGTGGAAGTGAGGGAGCCAGCCATGCGGGTCCACGGAAGGAAGAGGATTACAGGCAGAGGGAACTGCCCATGCAAAGACTGTAAAGTGACAGCATGTTTGGGAGGCGCAAGCATCAGCGAGAAGGGCAGGATGGTTATTAAAATCAAGTGAGGGGGAGAGTTACACAAGATGAAGTCTAAGAGGAAGCGGGGGCTGGACCATTTAGGAGGTCCTGGATTCTTAACAAAAAAATTTTTTTAATGTTTATTTATTTTTGACACAGAGAGAGAGAGAGAGAGAGAGAGACAGAGCATGAGTGGGGGAGGGGCAGAGAGAGAGGGAGACACAGAATCCGAAGCAGGCTCCAGGCTCTGAGCTGACAACACAGAGCCCGACCCGGGGCTCGAACTCAAGGACCGTGAGATCGTGACCTGAGCCGAAGTCGGACGCCCAACCGACTGAGCCACCCAGGCGCCCCATGGATTCTTTTTAAACAGCCATGCTACACAGATACATAACTTTGCCTTTTCCTTTTTTGTCACTCACCATTTCATCTCAAGGGTTTTTCACATTCCCACATGGTCTTCACAACCAGTAATGTATTCATATATTTTGTTTACTTGAAATTTGGGTCTGTAAAAGAGAAATTATGAAGTGGTCAGATAACATTTATTCTCCATACAATATGGCCAGTCTCAGAAATACATGGAAACATACATGGATATGGTCTGTGCCACATCACCTCTTGCC